ATATATCATAATTCTTTTTTCATCAAAACGATGTAATCAATATANGCCAAAATGTGAAACAGTTTTTCACTTATCGTGTTATCGGTGTTGGAAAAATGCTGAAAAAAGTGAAAAACAGCATAACTTCCATAAAAATGACCCGATCATGCTGATTTTCGAACTTGACCTGCGTATTATGAATATTCAGCAGTTCTGTAAGTTTCAAGCCCAAAAGTAAAATGGTTTTCCACTTATCGTGTTATCGGTGCTGCATATATGCTGAAAAAAGTGAAAAAACAGCATAACTTCCCTAAAAATGAAGCGATAATGCTGATTTTCGAACTTGACCTGCGTATTATGAATATTCAGCAGTTCTGTAAGTTTCAAGACAAAAGCAAAAACGGTTTTCCACTTATCGTGTTATCGGTAAAAGTGCACGACGGCGACGACGGCGACGACGGCACCGACGGCGACGACGGCGACGACGACAGACGCAGATGATGGCTATATGTACAGACACATCTGTGTCTGTACATAAAAAGAAGCAAACGTTGACTACGGTTAGGTATGCGGTGAACACATTCAGACAGAAAAAAAAGCCAAAAGCCAAGAAAGCTCAGTGAAATTTATTTCATCATTGTCTAAAAAAATTAGTTCCGTAATTAATATCTTTGAGAATGTTCATTTCCTGGACCCAAGGCAACAGAGGCAACATTGCGGTAGGTGTGAATGCAGTGCACTGTCAGCTGCTACATGTAGTGCGTTCTCTTTCAAACTGCCAGAAAGTTATCTTCAAAATAAATAGATAATAAATATACAAATGAATCAAGAGAAAGGAAAGGTACTGGCTTAAACAGAGGGAAGAGGTACGGTAGCAAGAGTCGACGGAAAGCTGCAAGCCTATCAAAAATAACAATACCTATTATGTGTGTGATAATACACTGTCACCCGAGCGATATATGCCATAACACCTCGAGCGTCAGCGAGAGGTGTTCATGGCATATATCGCGAGAGGGTGACAGTGTATTATTTAACATACATACCTAGGGATGTTATATGACCGTGGAGATATGATGATCACTGAAGCCTGTCCATTTAGCCAAGCTTCAGTGAAGATCGAGGGCAACCTCGAGCTGCTACCCAAAAATGTCTCGCTTCACTCGACATTTCTGCCGGAAAACTCGGATTTAACCTCTATGTAGTCTAGAATTTCACGACTACATCTTGGTTAAATCAGGTCTCTTAAATGCCCATCCACCCATATAGAATTAGCAGCGCTGGAGCAATTGCTCTTATGGCTGGCAGCGCCTCTTCCAGAGTGGTGTTGCACACTGGTGTTGCCTGGTGCCCTTGAACGATGGTACCTCGAGTAGATGGGCCAGAATTGGAGAACCTCAGCGGCCGGAACCTCACGCTCGTCCAGCAGGATTATCCGACGAGGATTCGGATTTAGAGGAGGCTTACATGCACATCTAATATCAAATTGAAATAGGAGTAATAATTCCTATTCCCCTTTCTTTTGGTTAATCAGAAAGATAAATAAATAAAAAAATTACGTCTGAAGATATCACCTGGTGTTGTGTGTGTGTTTTATTTTACATATTTTAGATTTAGTTATTTCTAGTTAGTTTTGCAGGAGCAAAATCTTCTAAGGCCCGACGGACATGTAACGCAGTTGGTAGCAAGATAAGCTTTTACATAACATTTAGTAATTAAAACTTCTGTGTAATAGACCAATGCCACACCTGGCTTCCTGTGAATATATTAGTCACACCGCTGTCATCTCTATTTTTATCTCGGATTTTCTGCAAGAGCAATTCCAAGTGATTATCCTTTAATCTCTCAAAGGTACAGAGAAATCTTAAGCTATCTTGAAAGTCGGTGTTGGACGGTGCTACCTTAACTGAAGATGCAATTGTGACCATCGAGCCTTATGAGATTATACATTCGAAGGGCCGCACACGTATTATAGTAAGCGCCCAGTGTTATGTTTATTAATCATCAATTACGGGTGAAAGTATTGTTTTATCAACGAGCGTAATATAGAATAGAAGTTTAAGGCCAAGTAGCCAGTATAACTAGTAACTGTTTATATAAAGAGAATTATCCTGTCACCATCAGGCACGGTAAACAGTGACCTCACCCTCAAAATTCAGTATAAAGGGCGTCCCGATTTCTACACCAGAGAACTAACGCTAGACCGATCCCAGGGACGTCAGAGTGACCAGCAACGCCGAGAGCACGAGAGGGAGACTGAGGACTGAGGACTGAGGACGGCCGGGTCAACCAGAGCCTAGATCGAGGGAACGATTGGGTCACTGTCTTACCGTAGCGCTGTGCCTACCTGAGCTAGATGTCCCTGTATATGTAACGGGTTAAAGTAATAAACTGTATTAATAGGGAAACCTATCCTAGACTGTTGTGTCATTCTTACGAACCTCCGCGCACACGCCAAACAACCGCACCGGCCCCGTTACATACCTACATGTACCAGTAGACAAATTTAAAATCTCACACTCTTAAAAAAATTAACATAAACTTTTCACCTTTAACAATTATTATTTATCATTTTATTACACTAAGTCATGTCATATGGGTATGGTTTGAAAACGGGAATTAGTTTACATTTAAGCCACACGTGTATACAAATTATCTGTAAACCTATAACTTTTTAACAAGGGTTGTGTTATTTACCTTTTGTTTTTAAGCTGTTCATTCTTCCTCTTTATCAGATATATCGGTAAAAATCAAATGTTTTCCCCCTTTGAACTTGTAATTACATATAGCACATGAATGCTCTGAAAACCAGCACATGTATATTCCGAAACCGCCTCGTAGTAAAAAATGTCACCAAACCGTATAATTATTACTCCTGTGGACTTGAAATAAACTTCCGTTTGATTTTGACTATATTCCGTAACCGCCTCGTCGTCAGAAATAACAATAAAAAACTAGAATTATTACTCCCTTGAACTTGTAATAAACATCCGTCGATTTTGAGTATATTCCGAAACTGCCTCGTTGTCAGAAATATCACCAAAAAGTAAATTTCTTTCTCCTTTGCACTTGTGAAAAATTAGTTTGACTATATTCCGGTCCGACGCTCCTTTTTTATCAGAAATGTCACTAAAAAGTAGAGGTTTTGCCTTGGGACCTTTTTTCCGCAACAGTCCCAGCTAGGTGTGGCTCAGCTGAGACGCGCATGGTAAGTGTCCACGGTTGATTAAATACTTTTCAAGCAAATGAACGTCCACGACAAGTATTTAGCAAAAATTGACCAAATTGGTCAGACATTACGTAAGAATTTGGCGGGAGGTGACCAGCGCACGTGGACGAGTTTATTCCGTATAACATCTCTAGAGCGTGATATAGGGTCACTTTATTCGGTTTTAGGGGTGTTTTAGGATGAAATGACTGTATTTTTTCTAGGTATGTATTTTAAAAACATTCTTCCGCATTTGTCTTTCGCTGTTTTTCGCCAAAAAGCAATGATATTCAAAAGTTTCTGAATAATGCGTCACGGTTCTGGACATGTGTGTCAGAACTGCAGTTAACTCATGCAATATCAATTTCTGAAAGACAAATATGATTGGTAATTTTACTTAGTAATTGACATTTAATTTATTGCAAACCTTGTCACACTGACGCAACTGTCCAGAGACCTGAGACATCACGGTCTTGACACAGGAGATGTTGATGAAGATGTTTTATTTTATTCGATATTCAGCTCTTCTTTATAATTGATTTTATGGTCAGTGATCAATTGTCACAATATTTGGATACCAAGATCAAAATGTCTCACGAACATCAGATCACAAGGATGGTCTGAGATATCTCGTGGATATCTCTGGTGGAATTATTCACAGTATTTTGTCAGAAAGGGTATATAAGTAGATGGTTTTAAAGTAAATAAACAGTATTATGGTGGATTTTCTCGGTGCGTTCAAACAACCAATGTGTACCTTGGCAAATCACAGAATGATTTGGAACAAAAAAAATCAAAGATCAAAGATCTGATCAGTGTAAAAAAAGGACCACGACATAGGGGAGAAAAACAGGTAAAAAGACAAAAAGAAAGCTCATTAGATATCTCTTTAAACCACTTTATTTGTTTAATCACCTTTAGGCAATTCTTATTTCCCCAACCCAGTTTAGAAGAATGACATAAAAACAAGTTTAATGTATGCATTAAAACAACCACAAAAGCCATTTTCGAAATAAACAGTTAAATTAATATACAAGTAAAATGAAATTAAACAAAGGTGCGTGTTTATAGGGTTGGGTTTGTTATGGCGTGAATATTAAAATATTTGTGGAAAAGCTGCGAGCCTATCATATATAGCAATACCTATTATTTTAAATATGTACTTCCGTAATAACCTGTACAAATGGGAAATAAATAACGTTGTTTTCATCAAATGTAAATAATATTCAAAAGTGTCTGCTTAATGCCTCACCTTACGGTTCCCAGCCAAGTATTCAGTATTACGGTGCGGCACTGCATTTTTTTTAGTCTCGTAACCTTGTATCAAAACCCTTGAGAGATGAGAAAAATAAAGCTCTCCATTAACAAAACCACACACAAAAGAACGAAATTAATTATTTTCATTGGCAGCCCGTGTATGTTGCGCGAATAGCCCTACTCTAGGATCCAAAATATTCTCGGGTTTGCAATTTTATACATTGATTTCAAACTATTAACGTGTTATGCCATTTTTCTGCAATTTGAGATATTACTTATTTCGAGGTCAGGCGTTCTTCACTCTTTAAAACAGGTGAGGGGTCGACCTTAATATGTCTAACTATAACTGGTCATCTCATCGGCCGCAGTGACGTGAACATGTAGCCGGTTGATCATACAGTGGGTATAAGTATAGTCACCCAGTGCCCCCCCCCCAAAAAAAAAAAAAAAAAAAAAAAAATCTAAAAACACTAATTTACAATGTAAATGAGTTGGTTTCCATTATAAATGAGTTACAAGAAACGTGTCTTCTGAAAAAAGCAATAAAACATGGGATTGCCCTATAAAAGGGATTCTTCGTGCCACGTTATAGTGTTATTTCTCCGGACATCAGATGACAATGTCTTTTTCAAGTCTAATTGTAGCCTCGCTCTTGATTCTTTTGTTTGTGGAAAGTCATGCAAGGAACAGCCAGGGTAAGTCTCATCTCTCTCTCTCTCTCTCATATTGTCACTATTATTAAACTGATTAATTTGTTTAAGCTAAACAGATAGTGTACGGTATTTTTTGCGCAAAAATTATAATTATGAAATTTTCCCGGGTCCTTGAACAATTTCCGTACTAACTGTCTGTCACTCACACTGAGACTCAGAGTCAATGCAGCCCATCTTGTTGATCTTTGAATTTCTACCTCATTTGCCTGTCTACATGTCAAACAGGTATGTGCAACTGAGGCCATAGGGCAGTTAATCTTCTCTTTTTGCTGGAAACCTTAATATCCAGATGTTATAGTGTTAAATACCAAACAACGGTAAGTGGCAACTAGGCCTATATCTGTTCATATTCTTAGGTAACACATTAACAATTTAGTTTAATGGTTAAATAATGACTGTTAAAAGCATTTCTGTAAACTCGTCGGCTGCACTGATTGAACCAATTCACCCCTCTCTCCTCTACACCTCCTCCCCAACCCCCCCTGCGCCTCAGACACCTTCCCTGCGCCTTTGAATTCCTGATGATTACATAGGCCTAAGGTTTATGCTGACGTGTAGCAAAGGTGGCTGTTTATTAACTTTTTTTATTCATGTTGCAGGGAAATATGCCTCATGCAAGGCTATCCTAAACGCGAACCCAAACGCTGCAGGAGGGGAATACACCATCAACACCAACACAGGCGACCAACGTGTTTACTGTGAGATGGGAATCAACGGGGGAGGGTATACTTTTCTTCCACGACAGGCGATAGTGACGGGTACCAGTCTTAACTTGGATAGCGTTTTCACCGATAAATCCCACGTGTTGCTTCGTATTTCGTACGACAATGGTAGGCAGCCGTTCACCGTCCTGCGACAGCTGCATAGATACGCCTCCACCCCCCTTTCAGTTCAGGTGAACTCCCAATTCGGATACACGACTCCCGTCAATAAGGCCATGGGACCGCACTTATTTCTGGGATTCTTGCCAGCAAATATTGCTAGCAACCCCAGCTATAAATATCAGGGTATCCAAAGCAACGGTAAAGATATCGCGTTCAACAATTGCGACAGAAACCCGAACAGTTACTTTACATTCTTTCCAAATCATCGTGAAGTGCCACCAAGTTCCTATGGAGGCTCAGGCATTGGAGCCAATTTCTACGACGCATGGTTCAAGTCCGCTAAGCCAGTGCCATCTGGACGTACGATGCCTAATGAATTTTTCTTCTTCACCGAACTCCACTTTGGAGGGTGTGGTACCTATACCAGTAGCGATAAGTGGGCGCGTGCAACGGGCGTGGCCATAGGGTTCCGCTAATCCTGTTGCGGGCACGTTGACAGAAACACAAAGGTATTCGGTTAGAGATGCGAGCAAAGACCCTGACATAAATGAATATAACACACATGCTTTGGTGATGAAGAGATATTTTAAATATATGTACATTGCAGATGTTGAATAAATGTGTTTTAATATATTATTTCATTATTGTCGTTCGGCCGGACATTTAAAAAAATGCTCTAATGCACACTGATAAATCCCATAAAGCCATAAGTTTAAATATTTTGATGATTATATTTCTTTGCCAGGCACAGGAGGCTAACTGATACAAATAATAATAATAATAATAATAATAATAATAATAATAATACAAAACAAATTTTGCATCTTAGGAGTCAAAAGTTTAGCTTTATGATATGACTCATTGTAATGAAATAACAAATAATGATTATTGAACGTTGCGTGAAAAGTTCATTTTTTCTTTTTACTTTTTTGGCATGCGAGTGATTTTTAATTTATATGGAATGCATTTTGCATTCTAGGTATAATATTATTATTAGTCTACACTTCACTTGATGTTTCTGGGTGGCGGCGCGAGGTTTATCTCTATCTTTACTGAGTTTATAGAAGTTTTTTCACCGACTTCCTTTTAAAAATAGTGCATTTGCACTCTTTGTCCCCGTACGGATCACGCGATTTAATACTTATTTTCTTTGCATCATTTCTCATAAGCCCCTCCCGTTTTACTTTGTTAATCAACTATTCAATATTTCCTTATAAGGCAATCCGTGCCAGACTAATTTACGTCTCTGACAATAAAATAACTAAAATGTTTTCTTTCTATCATTACATCGATCACTCTTGGAAATTTCCGAATGCAAATTTTAAGCTGTTATCCACGTCATGGCTGTATTTTGAGGTCAGGCATTCTTTGCTCTTCAAAAAGTGGTGAGGAATCGACTTTTCTTGTCTCACTTTAAACTGGTCATCTCTTCGGGCGTAGTTATAGGGCCTATGTGTACATAGTGCAATAGTGAAATGGGTATAAATATTCTTCCAATACACCCCACGAATGCTCCCCCCTCCCACGGTTGAAGCAGAACCTAAAAGCACTGATTTCCGTTGTTAATGATTAATTTCCATTATTAAACAGAAACAGAAACGTGATTTAAGTTTGCGGTTTGTAAATTGATTTTATAATTAACGAGCTATGCTCTTTTCTCTGTAACCCGGATATATGGGATTTCGAGGTCAGGCGTATTTCACTCTTCAATTCAGGCGAGTGATTCACATTTCTAATCTGACAATATACTGATAATTTCTTAAGGCGAGGTCAAGTGACATGCGTATGTAACTGGATGATATATGTACAACAGTAATTTTACAGTGGGTATAAATATTAACCTATGTCAACTCACCTCCCCCAGCCCACGGTTGAAACAGAACCTAAACACACTCATTTCCCTGGTAAATGAATTAATTTCTATTATAAAACAGTTACAGGAAACGTGAATTAAGTTTGCAATTTTGTAAAGTGATTTCATAATTTAACGTGCTGTCATTTTCTCTGTGACCTGAGACACTGGTCGAAGATATCGAGGTCAGGCGTTCTGCGCTATTAACAGGTGAGTGATCGACATTTCTAGCTCGGACTTTAAATTGACCATATCTTCGGCCGAAGTCAAGCGACATTTACATGTAACCAGATTGATCATAACATAACTTTGCACTGGGTATAAATATTACCCTATGCCCACCCACTCCCTTTCCACTGTCGGACCAGAACACTAATTTCCGCGGTAAATGAGTTAATTTCCATCATAAAAAATTGACGGGAAACGTGAATTCTGCAAAAAGCAATTAAGTATGGAACTGTTCTATAAAAGGAATCCATTATGTAACGTCATCATGTCAGTTTTCCAGACAGCAGACGAGAATGTCATTTTCGGGTCTTATTGTAGCCTCGCTCTTGATTTATTTCTCTGAGGGAAGTTATGGAACGGATAAGCAGGGTAAGTCCCATCTCTCTTTCAACCTTGGCGTCACTACCAATCTTATTTTTTAATCGTGTACGGAATTTTGGTGCAAAAGTCATTTTTTTCGAGGGTCTTGAATAAATTTCTTACTGACTACATTTGAGCTAGGGCATCCCATCCAAACTTCAAACTATCAGAGTAACAACTTAATTGCGTCCAGTTTAATGGTCACTCAAAATTAAATAAAAAAATAATTATAGACTTAATTTGAGCAGGTACACATTTATAGGTATATCAGGATATTTCTTTTCTCTTGTCTACTGTACTAATTCATGTCACCCCCCCTTCCCTCCCTCACAAACATCAAAACTTCCCCACCACCAATGTGCCCCAGACATAGAATTATTGATGAGTACAGGTTTTGTGTTGACGTGTGTTACGGCTCGATTTTGGTATAAAAACTGTAAAATTTCCAGTTTAAAAAGAGTGAGAACTTGACTTATATTAAACTTAAAATAACTTTTTTTCGTTCCGTAGAGGCATATACTTCATGCAAGGCTATCCTTAACGCGAACCCAAACGCTGCAGGCGGGGAATACGCTATCCTAACCAACACAGGCTACCAACGTGTTTACTGTGAGATGGGAATCAACGGGGGAGGGTATACTTTTCTTCCACGACAGGCGATCGTGACGGGTACTAATCTAAACCTGGATAGCATTTTCACTGATAAATCCCACGTGTTGCTTCGTATTTCTTACGACAATGGTAGGCAGCCGTTCACCGTCCTGCGACAGTTACAGCGATATGCCTCCACCCCCCTTTCAGTTCAGATCAACTCACATTTGGGATACACGAACCCTGTCAATAGGGCAATGGGGCCGAAATTATTTCTGGGATTCCTGCCAGCAAATATAGCTAACAACCCGAGTTTCAAATTTCAAGGTATAAGAAGCAACGGTAGAGCAATCACGTTCAACTATTGTGGCAGTAATCCGGCCAGTTACTTCGCTCTCTTTCCAAATCATCGTGAGGTGCCACCAAGTTCCTATGGAGGCTCTGGCATTGGAGCCAATTTCTATGGCGCATGGCTCAACTCCGCCAAGCCAGTGCCATCTGGACGCACGATGGCTAACGAGTTTTTCTTCTTCACCGAACTCCACTTTGGAGGGTGTGGTGCCTATACCAGTAGCGATAAGTGGGCGCGTTCAACGGGCGTGGCCATAGGGTTTCGCTAGTTCTGTTGCAAACGCGGACAGGAAAACAAAAGTTAGAGATGCAGAGCAAAGACCCTGACATCAAAATTTCACCATTCCCTTAAATACTTTGATGATGAAGACACTGCTTTAGATATAATGAAGACGTGGAATAAAGGTGTTTTGGTGTAATTATTTTATTCTCATTAATAATAATAATAATAATAATAATAATTATTATTATTATTATAGTTACCCCAAAACATAGTTATAAACCTCATTGAGCTATATGTATAAGTAGATGTATTTTTTAGAATGAAGAGTACAGGAGCAAAGATAAATACATGAAATAAAAAATCCATAATGCAAGTAAATAAATGAATAAAGAAAGAAAGAAAGAAAAATATTTAAAAAAAATTAAATTAGTGCACGTGTCCAATAATGAGATGCTGAAAGAAATATCCAAAATTTTGAATTTTTAAATAAAAAAATGAAAGTTAATAATAGGCTGATTGAAATCGTTAGCCTAATTAATGACGGGGGGAATAATTGTTAAACCATAATACCAACAATCAAAGACACTACAAATATGACTACAAAAGGTCTGTCAGTAAATCCAGAACTGGCTGTCAGGGCTGATGAGGTGTTTTTCTTAATCCGTAATGTCAAGGAATAAGTCAAATCGACGAAAATCTCACCAGGACAACAACTGTAAGAAATTGCATTTCGTTTCACTGCAGTATATTGTACAGCCCAGTCACGATTTGGCTCTAAATTGCTCAGATCCATTTTCTGAGCCCCGTAGGCAAGGTTTATTTCCTTCTGATTATACGACCATGATCCAAATTTGAGGTTGCACTCCTGAGTGTAACGTCCCAGATCCATATTACAGTGGGCGCTGAAACAGGAATGAAATACTTATCATATGGTGTCTAGGATCTAGGATCTATGCTATTCTTTTCGAAACGATTTGACAACACAAGACCTATACATTCAACAATCCCCTGGCTTGTGATTGTCAGGTTAAATTTTGATGAACTGATGGTGGAATGGTCTTATGCCTACGTTTGCAAAGCAGAATTAAATTACTGACCCAGCAGAAATTTAAAAAAAAAAATCAGAGCTGTTCATTTGAACAAATATTAAAAAAAATGGAAGTCATGAACAGACTCCATGTCCATGTTCAGTTTTACCTGTGCTGGTATACAGGTATCCAGACCACCGTGCCGTCATGTGATACTACTGCTCTCGGGTCCAACAGCAGCTTACTGGCGCCGCGACTGAAACACAGCATAATTAAATAGCTGACATCAACGCTACCAATGTACATGTACATGTACTTTTCATCAAAACATGAAAATACAACATTAACAAGCCCGGTATCCACTGCACACTGGTAGCGCAATTATGACCTATTTTCTCATTAAAAAAGTAAATTAATTAATTAATAAATAAACAAACAAACAAAAATATATACAAGAAGATCAAGGAAAATGAATGTGAATATATGAAATCAACTCACAGATTTAGTAGCACAATGTCTGGGAGCCAAATAAGTGAGGACATGACATGCATCCTCCGCACTCCTCCTCTGAACTGAGGATCCCACACCAGATCCCGGTCACGCCAGCTCTAGAACCATTAACAGATACATAACTAGATGTCAGAATCAGCTCCCTTTTGCACCCCTCTACACACACACACACACACACACACACACACACACACTGCCAAAATTGGTAAAAAGAATGATCTCACAGTATGGCTTACAGAAGCATTTTACACAAATTGCCCCCAAAATGTATCATATTACAAAAATGTTTCCATTTGGTCGTGATTGGAGCTGACGGCAAATACACATCTCCTTTGGATCCACTGGTGATTTTTAACCAAATTTATTTCTTAAATTGTAGACAATAAAAAAACCAATACCTGGCACATATTTTTCACGGAATGGATGCTGGGACAATATACACTTTCACTTTTTTCATTGCTCGAATTTTCAGTGGCTCGACTAACATCATAACTAGTTAAAACGGACCTTTTTTTTCTTATTGTTTTCATGTTATTACTAGACACCAGACACATTTCCCCTACCATACGATGATACGCGTTAACTGACAAGACTTGTGAGTTAACATCAAGAGAATTGACGTGCAGCAAGACAACATCTACGGTAACTTGGACTGTATCAGAATTGTTCTTCACTGGACGAGTCCGATAAGTCTGAAGAAGGTCCCTCAATATGTGATCTTCACTGAAATGAGACAAAATCCGCGAAAAAATTAAATTTACCTTGGATTATCAGGAATATCACTACGGACCCGTCAGCGCATCCTTTGGTTTGGTCAGTGCAATCTGGTAGTTACGGACACACTAACTTTGTATTGCTCAAGTGCACTTCGTGACGTAACGAAATATTTTTATTTGTGTTTTATATAAACTCTTATATTCCCTCTACGCCGACTGATTTCGAGGTAGAATTGATCGAATTTAATTATGAAAACAGCTTCTAAACGACTTCTCCTGTATTTGATGCAGTCATGTTTATCACAACCATTTTCATAATTTCAACATATGTATAAAAAAAATTAATGTAGAAAAACCTGTCAGCATTGGAAATACCAATATAATTTTATATTCTCAAAAGTGGTGTTTGTTCAACGAAGCAAATGAGAAGTAAGGACCGAGCTCGTCTAACAATATTACTGGTCTGCCACTGATTATCTGACAAACGAAAGGACCCGTCATGAACGAGACAATATTCACTATTCACTAACATATTTGATTTGTATATAGAAAATTCCCGATTCACTGAAAGTCTTCGGCGAAAAAAGTGTTCAACAAACCTTGCTCCTGAATTTCCATGGAAAAAGGCAGCGACGACTAGAAATGTAACTATTAGCTTCCACATTTTCAAGTCTTTTGTGTCCACAGCGTGCACATACTGTTCACCATACATAGTAACTAACGGGCCCTTGTATTCGAATAATTTCAACACTTCTTTTTTTTTCACTAACTAGGCTCCAAAACATGCCGAAATCAAGAACTACAGTGTACGGTTTCAACAGTAAGTTGTCGCAAAGCTAGTGATTTTCAACATGCCGACGGGCCCGTTCCAGGTCAGTTATCTGTGGCTTTTTGTTTTGTCGATCAGGTTGACACCGTACTGGAGGTTAGCCAAGGTAGCAGGATTTTCAGTACCAGGGTCACTTATGTCACCCCGAACTGTAGTGATGCAAGTTTTTGAGACCAGCGCACGATGCAAACTACAAGCTGAGCCACAAATCTCGCGACACTGGTGTTGAACGACACATTTTATCACTATGCAACTATTCTAGCTCACACAAGGCAGGGGCGGATCCAGAGATATTTTCTGACAGTCTTCCAAATAATCTTTGTTAATTCGTCCTCAATTTTTGACCGTCTTCCGACAGAAAATATTAGATACCCGTCAATGTAAACTTAAAAATCTGACCGTCTTCCGGAAGACCCAGAAGACGGCCTAAATCCGCCCCTGCAAGGCGCCTCCGTTATGTCTGGACCATTTCTTATTGCAACTGCCAGTCCAAATCGGAGCATTCTCTCTGCGGCATAACAAAGGCCATATTTCGACTAATTTTATTCTACTGACTTTTTATGCTGACAAATGAGCTTTCCAGCTATAACGTCTGTTAGGTTCAGACCTTGTGAAGTAACAACTTGGTCTTTTCTGTTGGGAATCTTTCATTTAAATTCTTTTTTTTCGACTTTCCTCTCAGGTCTCGTTTTACGAAAAAAAAATTCAGTAGAAAGTTAGTCACAGACCAGTATTTAAATCTCCTCAAACCCAAGATAAACCTGCTTTTTTGACCCAATACTGTATATTCAACGCTCCAAAATCAGCTTTCCTTCCTTCGTTTTAGTGTGCGCTGGGCTAAAACATTCAACTTCATTTTCTCCAAGCAGGAGGCATATACGTAGGCAGTAATGGAAAACGCGTATCTTTCCAGCATAATTTGCTAAAGAAAAATCTTTATAACCAGAAATAAAAACTAAGGGATAAAGTAATTGCGTTGTGGTTACAAAATGTGCAGAAATCATTGAATGGTTCGCAAAATGACTCGCACTTTGATCAGATGATAGTAAACGCCCTTGATTTTTGAGACTTTTGTCATTCAAGTCTCCTTTGAAATCAAAACCAACGACTTCATTATGTCAAAAACACTGAAAAAGACATTTCCTAACAAAACCCCGCCGTTTTAAGTAACAAAGTAAGAACATTTGCGTTGCAAACTTCTAAAGATGCGAAAAATAAAGTGCAGGGTCGAAAGTCTTGCGATTAGTTGAAATTGTCGAGTAAGGTAGTAGCTAACGCATTTCAGTACTATATATATATATATATATATATATAGCATCTGTAAACTTTATTAAGTTATATTCTTAAAACACCATGGAATGGAGAGAATTACTACATTTCATGGTGTTTGAGGACGTGCCCTCCATTAGAAATAAAAGCAGAAATCAGTATATACAAAGACGTGTCGGTTTACACATAATGGCCGTTTTTCTTTTGTATAGATTTCCTTCAATAAATAAATAACGTAAAATATGTACCTTACGCCTTAATTCACTCCACTTTAAGTTTGATAAGTATTGCGCTATAAGAAAAAATCAATCAAAACGGGTCATATTTACTTCAGTAAAGCAAGAGTAATGAACAATTTCATGACAATCAGATCTTATTCCACACCTCCGTACAATAATACCACATAACAGAGATCAATGCAACGAAGTATTTTAAGGCCCAAGAATGTTATACAGTGAAAACTTTTCTTGGAAATTTTAGCCATTTTAAAATTGGAATTAAAAATCGCTTTTATCTCCATATAGAGATTGACTTAAAAAGTGAAACTTGGAACTCAAGAACGGTTTTAACGATCGTTATTCTCTCAATATTTTTTTCAAAATGCTGCATCGGTAATACTTAATTTACTAAAATGCATCTTGGTAATTGCTTTATTAAATCTTAAACGGATACACCAATATATGTGGCTTCATATTTTATTTAAACCAGGGATATTTATCATCTAGAGTAGAGCCAATTACAAATTTAAAGTAATATGTGGAATACCAATTAATTCTTCTCTTTAACTAGGTAAACTGACTGAAAAGACGTTTAAATATACCATTAAAATTGGAACAAAATGAAGGAACCAAATCCTGAACTCTTAAGTAGTTATACTCTAGTTTCTGACATAAACTGGTCAACTCTTGGCTGAAATCTCGTGATTTCCTTGTAATGGTTGCGAGGCATCTTCCTGACAAAGTCCAAATAATCGTAGAGACCAACCCGTGACTTCAGCTGTATGACAACTATGCTAAACCCTGGACAATCACTGCTGGATCTAAAAAAAAAAGCATTCTAAATAAAAAAATTATTAACTTCAATTTTTATCTGATAACTTTAACACTCATTAATTTTTTTTTTTTTGCAAAACTGATGAGTGAATTAAATTTCAATTATAAATATTTTATACGTGGATGTATACTCAAAATTCGTTCTACAAATGTAAGGCCCACTCATTCTTAGCCTTCGAATTTAATTTTATCAATGTGCCTTCTCCGTACTTATAATACTGAATGAGGGCCTTCTGCAGTTCCTGGCATGCAGCATCCGTCATTCCCACAAACAGTTGGATCACAGACAAATTAGGAAGCTAAAATGAAAAGGAAAGAGCACAGTGAAAATATCTAAAATATTGTTCGTGAAAGAGGTTTTGTTTGCTATCTCTCCAATTATTTCATATTTCTAAAGTTAAAACTTGCAGTTTCATTTGGAAAATCAAAGGAGGATGTCCCTGTAGATTAGTTTATTAAAACAAATTCTGAACAAACAGCATTAGAGGACTGGGACTAATCACACCAGGGTCTTGGATAAGAAGAGAAAAATTACCTTCTTCACAGCATTGAGAAGAAGGTGCTTCTCCACTCCAGTCTTATTTGTAATGGCACACAATCTCTGCAGCTTACAGCAGTGCTGTAGTGCAGGAATGATGTACTGGCCCAACTTGCAGTATCTTTCTTCCAATCTGGATGAACACAAAGTAATATTCTAAATGTATAAACTGTACTTATAAATGTTTAAAGTAATGTTTACTGTTTTGTATTTTTTATAAAAGAGTATACTGCCGGTGATGACAATTGATAATTTATTAAAACAATTGTTGCTAAAGCTTAAAATAGTACATCAAAAAATATTCATTTAATTCTGAAATCACAGCATTTTGGTTCTTACCTGGATAAGCATTAATTTACTCATAATCATACAATATAGATATACTTATTAGTATTATAGTACTTATTAGTACTATTTATTCTCTAATCCCTTTTACACCTTATCACAGTCATAGTACTATTTATTCTCTAATACCTTTTACACCTTATCACAGTCATTTATGCATCAAGGCATAATTTAAGGATTCGAGAACCCTAGATCTCATTGGTCAAATGCCACAATTCCAACTGCCATATTTGTACATAAATGTGACACACTAAAAAAAATCTTTGCCACACAAACCTGAAATCAACCAGGTTTTTGCAGTGTTTCAACCCCTCTGCCAGCTGCTTGTCATATGTGCAGGCATGAGAAGGCCCCAGGCTTGCCAAAGACAGGAACTCTATCCAGGGGCACGAAGACAGGATCCTATGTAAATAGTGTCCTATTCTCAAACCTAAAGTTAAGAAATTGCTTGTTATTAGAAACATAAATGAAGGATTTGTAATCAGAGACAATATGTAAGCTAATGTTTTCCAATCTAGAATATTTAGCATTCACAGTTATTGTAATACATCTCTGATATGATTTCAAAATATATATTGCTCTTATTCATTTTCAAAGTGAAACATCAACACACTATTTATTCATACTGGTTGATTCCACTCTAAGTCTAGACTGAGCTTCAACATAAACTGCTACATAGTCAGCTTACTAAATCTTACGCCCAGCTGCATACTTCATACTGGTTGATGGCCATCTTACTCCCCCTCCTTCCTCCTGGGACACTTCAACTTTTAAGCTGAGACAAACTAATTTGGTTTAGATATTTTATTTGGTGTCCCTTTTAAGTATGGAGTAGCAATAGAATCAATCATCTTACCTGGCAGGTTAGCTAGAGTGAGCTGTCTAAGGTAGTACCACCCACTGATGTTTTCCAAATAAGGGACATCATTCCCTATGGGCTGACCACTGGAGGAAAGTAAAAATCACTTTAGAACTAACAAACAGCAAGGTAACCAGTTTATACTTCAAGGCATGTAGTATTAATGTGCACTAGGCGTTCACAACAAATGCAATTTTAAGCCATTGTGGTTATTCCTTTACTAAAAAAAAGTTGTAGCATTTTGTTAAGACTTAAGTAAAGATTGCATGTATTTGGAAGGAAAATAGGAAGATTTAAGAAAGGGATGCCCCATCAATAGCCCTTTTAATGTTTACAAGGGTCACATATATTGGTAATTTGGTAGAATGCATTCTTAAACTGACTGGAAATATCTGTATCTAGTGTGAATCAAAATAATGATTCAAAAGACTGGACCTTGATAAGAACTCATTTTATACTTGTAAAGTCACTATTTCATGATGCTACAGACACACTTACCAATAAACTCCATCTTTAATCAACACATCAAAATATTGATTAAAAACAGGGATAAAAGGTGCTCCCACAAGATCAAATACTTCCATCCTGGGACATGAAAGTACCATCTCCTTAAACTTGACCTCTGTATTGTTTGGGGTTGCACCAAGTTGAGAATGGCTGTTTTTTCTCTGGAGGTAAAACAACATGTTGGGTGCCACTCTTTAAATGAAGATCAGAGCAAAACCTGATGATTGCATTAGCTGTTACAGTATGGCTGTCTCACTTAGTCTATCAAAACAATGAAAAACCTTTTTTTGAAATTCAACAAACCCTGCAACATCACAATGAATCTACTGACCTTAAAAGAAGCTCCTACTTTACAGCAATTTAACTTAGGCATCTAGTCAACTCTCTAATTTGAAAACATTTTACTAATTTCAGAATCATGGCTTATTTTCATTGTCTCTTTTAACATAATGTCTACTACAAACAATTCTGATGAGCAATAGATCCACACATTATTATATGATGAGATGGCAACTGCTTACCTCGGTTGTTTGGACACCAAGTCTTCGTCTTTTTCCAAAGCCATTTGGAGCAGCATAACTGGTTCGAGTCACAGGTTCTTCACATGGATCCTGAATTGCACAAGCTGTCAATGACAACCTCCTCATTGCTAAAGAGGAAATATTAAATATAGCATTTATCATAATACTGACAGTAGGCTTTCCAACTACTTACATAATACAAAGTTTTGGTGTTGGTGATGCTTGCAAAATAGACAAATTATTTTTTGTTCATAAAATATTACATAGAATAATAATTTGAAATATTTCATTGCAAAAATAAAACAAGAAAAACCCATATGTTTAAGTGATTATTGTTTAAGAAGTTAATAACAAGACCATCATTTAGGAACTTTCTTTTTTCAGGATACAGAATTAAGTATTCTTCACATTTGTCTTGATTCTACAAGATTTTAAATCAAATCATACCTTCTACTATATATACTTTTGACTAAAATGTGTTTATTTTAACAGCTGAGATATTGACTTTTCATATATATATATATATATATATATATATATATATATATATATATATATATATATATATATTTCATTAAGTTGAATTATCAATAATAATGATTATAGTTATTATTACTATGATCCAATATTGATGTAAAGTATATTTAACATAACAAACATTGGCAATTGTGTACATACATGTACTATTTGTTGTGACAGGTCATTCTAACAATTAAAATTTAGTGTAAAATCTTTCTTTTACCTTTCAGATTGGCTAGCATATCACACACACTTGGTTCATTGTCAAAATGCACACCAGATAGACTCAAGGTAGTGAGGTATGGAAGCTTGTCTAAACTGAGGCATTTCATAAATTTTCTCTGTAATTAAGGAAAATCAGGCAATTTATAAATTCATTAAGTTATAAGTCTAACCATAGTAAAATGCATATTGATGCTATGTTATTTTTACTCTAAGTGTCAATTGTAATAAAAAAAGAATTCCATTATGTTTAAGAAAGATAAACAAGTCAGCAAAGCTGTCAAATGGACAGATATCAAATGACAACTCTAATAGCAAGAGTGACATACATTTTCAGTGCTATTTTACATAATACTTTACAGGAAAATCAACAATCATCTATTATGTATGACCATTACCATGAAAATTTAAAAAAATGTAGCTAGCAATGGGCTTCAGACCTTTAAAAATTTAAGGTCACACCTGGGAATTGAAAAATTCACAAAATGAAAGATTCACAAAAAACATCATAACTTCAAGAAAATTGTCTCTCCATAAAATTATGGTAAAACAAACTCACGGGTGTATTATCTCCATTCCATTTTAAACATGAATGACACAAGCTGAAACTTCTGAGCATGGGGCACTTCTCACCAATATCATGGCAAACTGCCATCAAAGTCTCGGCACTTTCCATACAGGAAATAAAGCCAACATGTTTTAAAGAACTCTGAGCACATTTGCTAAAATGGGGTGTCAAGCCAGAGACCTGAAAGAGGTTATAAGTTAGCATCTTCTCCATTTTAAGCAAGTCAATGTTTTTTAAAAACCAGCCATATGTCATATGTGACACTTCATTGTGTAAAGCATTTAAAGAGGCCTTTTGTGGCCAACAGACAACATTACAAAACGGTTGCAAGTAACATGATGGCAGACTGTCATAGTCATTGCAGAAGTAGAACTGCTGCAATTTTGGTAGTACCACATCAGGTAGCAATCTCCCGAGTGTATAATATCCAGCCACTGACAATGTCAGTATCTCTAAATTTTGACAATGAGTTATCCATGTGCACTCAAGTCTTCTATCTACTGCTAAACTCTGGCACAATTCATTGGCGATGTCAATTCTTAGGCACTGCAGTTTTTGTAAAGCTACTTTCACCTCTCTAAAACCTGACTCCAGAGATTTGTCTGTTGTGTTATCTACACTTGATTCCACAAGTCTGTCAATAAGGAGATCGTCCAATTGATAAATTGGTATTGATATATCCAAAAGGTCTTTGCCAGAAATAAGAATCTTTGCCCACTGCTCGATCTTAATACCACACCCCAACACTGACAATCTGCGAAGGTTTTTGCACTTCACAGCTGCCCACTGTATGTACCTAGAAAGAAAAGTAGACACTTCAAATGGTATTGCATTTCTTACATCGTCCATGATCACACTGTCAATTTACAAGCTAAGATATAAATCTAGATATGTGAAGTGAAGTTTTGGTTGAACTTGTGTACATTTATTCTGAACTTTAGTACCAAACTTAACTTAATGATCTTGTCATATTTGTGATTTCTACAACTGGGTCAGATCATCTCCTTCTCCCACTGTATGAGTTATTTTATAAGCCATATAAGTTTGTAGTTAATAACATTTCATAGCAACAAAAATGTATATATTTGCACGATGTGTCTACCCACAAAAATTGAAAAAAAGTTTTTTGTCAAGCTACAGGCATACTTATGGAAGCTTGCATAGAAAAAGATGGAAAGGGATGTAGAAAAGACGCAAGCCTTAATTGCATAAGCCCTCATTCTGGTTCAATCAAGGTTTTGTTTTCTAAATGGCTTCACCTACTTATAACGCTCAATTACAGGTAAGCCTTCAATTTGGTTCAATTAAGATTTTGTTTTAAAATTAGTTTCACCCATTTACGATGCTAAATTACAGATGCAAGTGACTGAAGATTTATCACATGGAAGAAATGCTTGGATCAGTGCCATTCTCAATTTTAATTTAGTATGAAGTTAATTTGGAATACACGTTACACATCAGGATAAGAAATATTGTTTTCTGCATATCCAGTAATGAATATGTGACTGACATTCTGGACGTTTTACAAATTTTGATCGTGACATACTTCTTTGGAGTGCAAAGACTCATTGCACAGATTAGTCATACTACATGTAAAATTCCACTTAAAGAGAGGCAGAAACAGAATGCATATGAGAGAGAGAAAGTTAGAAAAGAATTATTCATGTTTACATTGAAATTTGTTCATAATAATTGGATCATGAATTATCCACAAAGGTTGTTTGAAACACTACAATTTTGATATGATCTGGATGCAGGTATAAAGATCCTTCCGCATTATATAAGAGCTAGCAATATTAATTAAGCATCATTCAAGTTTTATGTTTGATTAAGCCAAATGTGTAGATACATGTAGGTACTAGTTCAAAATTGTAATGCCTTATTTTCTTTATATGATATATAGACATATGTTGAAAAAGTTGTGTAGAGAGCCTGTAAAATGTATCTGTAAACATTTCTGTGATCAATAAACAATTATTATTTTTATTATTACAATTATTATTATTTTAAAATGCAACTCATTGATTAGTATGTCTATGGCTAGATGGCACTTTGTAATACCCCATTCACACTAGAGTTGCAAAAAGGCGCATTTCTATAATTCGGATTTTTCGCAAGGAATCCGATTCGGTATTGCGTTCACACATGCGAAGCGAAACCGAATCCCACGTTGAAAATTTCAGGTTTCACTTCCTGTTTTGAACATTCGCGCATGTGCCGCACAGGAAAACTCAAAATACCAACAAAAAAGTGGGACGGCAAATGTATCTCAAAAAGACATTCAGCATTCTTGGGAGGCATAAGATGGCAAAATAAGTTTGTTTCCTCATGTTGTAGTGAGTGGTGACCTCCAAATACGTTTGGTGCAATCGCTAAAGTAATAAACAAGCGTTCATAGATACCCGCACTTATCTGCACACATGCACAGTAAGATCTGTACAGGTGTCGATTCCGGTAAGTTATTCGGATCGCGCTTAGAAATCCACCTCGCTTGCAGGATTTTGAAAATTCGCATTACAGAAATCCTCTTGCGTTCACACTACTGCATTTATTCGAATAGTGACCTAATTCGCAACTTATCCGGATAACTGAGTGTAGTGTGAATGGGGTATTAGTTTGCAGTTTTTGTGCTTATTCACTGTAGCTGAGAAGTAAATATGTTTTTCTAACATTTCCTGCACCGCCTTGGCACTTAATTCTCATCAAACATGTGACTATTTGACATGGGGTATAACTAAAGGCTGGTTAATACAAGGAACAATTGAAAAAAAAAAATGCCAGTCTGAAACAGGCCCCTGCACTAGCTTCCTGGTAGAGCACACATTTTATTTAAAAAGTTAACCTTTATGCATGCAATTTTTTATCAATCAGCACCCCTGTACCTACTAAAACTAGTTCCTCATTATGCTCCAAAATGTAACTTAAGATCACTTGACCAGTTTTTGATCATGTTTTTGCCCTGTGTCATGTTTTTGCCAGATTTGTAATGCCAGGTTGAGAACATACGGCGACATAGCTTTTCAAGTCTATGGGCCAAATGAATGGAAAATTCTCCCAATATATTTAAAAACTAAAGAGTCTGCGGACAATTATAAAAAAGAATTAACAACTTTTATTTTCAAAAAGTTTTATAAGTGATCTGACTGGCTTTTCATCTTTATGTTGTGCTATCTATTTTAATGTTGCAATATTTTAATATTTTGATATCTTAACTGTTTATTTGTTTACTGACTTTATTCATCTTATTCTGTTCATTTTACTCCAGTAAAGTCTAATGAACATTTTATATGGATTTTAGACCATAAATAAATATTGTTATTATTATTATTATACCTTCCTGGTATCCAGTGCATGTAGTTCATATTTAAGCTGCTGATGTGTTTCCAACTTCTACCTATGCAACATTTGAACTGCTGCAAAGAGAGGTTGTTGCATTTTTCAAAGCTTACATCCCTAGGAGTCAATAAAAAGAGAAAGTGAAGCTTTATTTTTGGTAGAAAAATAAATACTGCAAGATTGTCATAGACTCTTTATGTTGAACTATACTTCACTAAAATAAAAATTAAACTGCAAATAAAAAAACTGATAATGTCTTTCATTATAACTGGCTATATAACTTATCATGAATACTAATGTATAAATTAGCATCCCTATTAATGTTTTTGCACTACATGCAAACGCAATTAAGATGTAGACATAGGGATCATTCCCATAAGCCCATCGCACTAGCTGGATCTGAATTCTTCTGATGGGATTCGAGCAGTAAAGTGCATTCAGTGTAAGCAGTTTAAATATCTGGCATGCCTGCTCAACCTTCTAGGGGGTAATTAATGACAGTCAATTACCCCCAATTACTTGAGGGGGCATGGCAGACAATCTAACTCCCTGGGGAGTATTACTAAATTGCTATCAACTGAGCCGGCTTAATTGTCTGTCACGCCTACCGAATCAGCTAGAGGGTAAAGATAATTACCCCCTAAAAGCATTACTAGGCATGACAGACATTTAAGCTGGTTAAGTAAATAGCACGTTTGTGAGACTCCCCAGGGAGATAGATCGATTCAAATATCTGTGGGAATGGTCCCTATGGGAATGAAGTCACATATATCTTGCATTAAGAAGTCAGTTTATGGCAGTCTTCAACGACAAGAGGTGGATGATATTATAGTACCTGGTGTAATTCAGAGATAAGCCCAGGTTTTAGAAAAAAAGCTCTGAACATTTATTGCGGAACAAAACACCTTACGTAATTTTTTTTAGGTTTAATTAGTCAATTAGATGCTCACCTCCATAAGGATTCATCATAACACACTCTATTCAATCGTTTGCAAGTCAAAGACAAACGCAAAATGTCCCTTAATTCAAGGTATTGCAAAATGTTTAGTAGCACAGCGTCGCACAAGGTGAGCAATTCGGTCATGTTGGGTTAAAAACTTGCGTGCGACGCCTGGTATCTGAGACAGACATTCTTTGATGCTTCTCGCTCGTGCCGGGAAATCCTCATCACTTTTGAATCTTCGCAGCCTGGAGAACGAGATATTTGCGCAAGACAAATGAAATTCCCCGCAGTGGAACACAGGACACTGTATATTTTATCAGCTACGTTCTAAAGATGTGAAAACTACCATCACAATTAGCTGATACTAGTTTCTGTAGGTTATATTTTTTCTACAGCACTTTTTTTTAAATTTTAAACGCGCATAAGCCTTACGACCTTTACCTTGACCTGAAAATGACCTTGCTGATGTGGGAAAGACCATGCTCATGACATTATGATCGCTTTATCGTGGAACGAAGATCAACCACGGTCACATTTCACCCATCTCACTGTGGAGTTAACTGTGGATAACGTGAGCTAGGAGAAAGTTACACAGCCGTTTGATATGGTGATTTTAACTCATATTTCCGTCTTTGTTTACCTCGTTGCAACGGCAACATTCTGTCAGGGAATATCAAAGGATGATTTCTTTGTGAGAAATTTGATGAGTAAGTATGGGTCGAACGACACGTTGAGCGTGGACCAGTTAAGTTCGTTGTTGGAAGCGTTGAAGGATGGCGGAGACCAAAATCTTGCCGATAGTCACGGGGCCACTTCTGATAACGGGGACCATGCTTGTTACGTGAACCCAGATACAGATTCGATACCTTCAGCGTCGGAGGCTTGTCTCAAAGAAAAGGTAAACTGGTTCTACCAGTGCCAGGTAGAGCTGACTTTATCTTATAATTATGTTTTACTCAAATAAGTTTTGAAGGGGGCTTTCATTTTAAAGTTGTATATGAACAGTTACACAAATGTTGGTGGTTGATTTCTTTTCTGGCTTTTTTGTTCGGATTCATCAGAGGAGACAAGGTCATGATTTGAATTATTCATTGATAGGTATGGGGAATGATATCATTTGTGACTCCCTCAATATGAATCAGAAGAAATACTTACACAATGAATATAAGTGATATTTAAAGATTTTGATTGATCCTGTAGTCATGATAAATAAATAAATAAATAAATAAATAAAATAAAATATAACATATTTGAAAATTTATAACTATAGATAAAAAGTAGAAGAAAGTAAAATATTGTTTGGATTGTAAGAAAGACATGAATAAAAAATTCAATTTAAGTGTTGGCATTAATTGTCAGATACACATGTAATTCCATTGCCTGCTTCTGCAGCAGGTGTGTTGCACATTAACAGCGTGAATGGTTTAAGTAGTATATGGTGAATTATTATGCAGCTGTTACAGTTTAACAACATAAAGAATATATGTGTATGGGGGCTCGTGGAAAAAAATCAAGGAAAATGAGACTTGGAAAGTGGGAAAGTTGCACATCAGAACAGGTTAATTTTTTGAATTGCACAATGGGGGGGGGGGGGGGGGG